GGGAAAACGTTCGTACTAAACTCAATTCTGCACTACTGCAATGGCAAACAACGTACCTTTTGAGGCGGTGTCAGCTGCCGGCATATCATCTCTGCTTCTGTTGAAAGGACGAACTGCACATTCTGCCTTCAAGATTCCTATTCCAATATACAAAGACTCAATTTGCCCAATTTCTTTGCGTGAAGGCATTGGGGCCAACCTCGCCAACTGTCGATTTATTGTTTGGGACGAGGTTGCAATGCAGCACAGGCATGCTATCGAATGCGTGGATCGTACACTTAGGAGTTTGACAGGCATTGAGCGTCCTTTTGGGGGGAAGGTAGTGTTGTTTGCGGGAGATTTCTGGCAGACTTTGCCAATAGTCAGACGTGCTACTCTAATGGAGCAAGCCAAGGCAACATTAAAGGCTTTGTACTTGTGGGATTTGACCAATAAGTTTGCTTTGTTGGTCAACATTCGCCTGGGTGGTACAACAGCTCATCCTGATCCCTCGAACACAAGATTTGCAAAATGGCTGCTAGCTTTAGGTTCCGGTGAATTTCAAGAAGACCATACAGCACCTATCAATATCGAGCACTGTAATGTATCCTATATGCCACCGTCTGCGGCCTTTGACGAGCAACTTGTCAAATCGGAGTATGGTGGAGTCAACCAATTGATAAGATGTTGAAATTGGCATGAATTAACTGATCTCTATGCAAACCGTTGCTTGATAACCCCACTGAATGCAACAGTTGATGCTTTGAATAAGCACGTCATGGAATCCTTACCAGGCGACGGCCTTGTATCTTTGTCCAGAGACGAGATGGACGAGGCGTTTCGGGACCCAGTGACTGCCGATGTACTAAATTCCTTCAATTTTCCCGGTTTCCCGGCGCACAAATTAGAACTCAAAGTGGGAGCCACGGTGATGGTACTTCGAAACTTGCATATGGGGGACGGACTTTGCAATGGCACTCGGTTGTTGGTGACAGATGTGAAGCACAAGGCTTTGCAGTGCCGTATCCTCACAGGTGAAAAGAAAGGCATGGCTATTAGCCTACCTAAGATCAAGTTGCGGCATGAAAGCGACGCGGTATGCCCTATACCATTTGTGCGATATCAGTTTCCTATCATGCCGGCGTTCTGCATGACTATCAACAAAAGCCAAGGACAAAGCCTTAATCGTGTGGTAGTCATGCTGCCTAAACCGGTATTTTCACACGGGCAATTGTACGTAGCTCTGTCACGTTGCACCTCTGCTTCAAATGTCCATGTGTGTATTCCATCGGACTCAGGTGGTTTCCGGACTCTTAACATTGTATTCCATCCCGTATTACTCTTTTGATATGGATTATGTCTTTGGGTAAGTGTCTCTCTGCTCCAATGCTTCATTTGCTTACTTCACACTGATGGCATGTATCTGTTACAACCAGTCCTTTTAGTTCTTATCCCGTATCGTAGCTCCTTTTGTTACGTATTGTGGCATATGTTGAGAGTGGCGGCCTACTTCGTGGGTGACGTTGGTGAATTTTATTATCACATAGTAATGGTATTTTGTAATGATATTTCATACATTTGTTTTTCTTCGTCACACCCCATTCGCGTTATAATGCCATGTTCCTTTTCACTTGCTTTTTTGGCAACAAGTGCCACTGTTTAAGGTACCATCCTGGTAAGCATCGTGAACCGGTCTGGGTCTCGCGATTGTTTGATTGTTACATGGCCCATGTGTTTTCCTCTTATCGCAATCATTGGCTGAGATCTCACACGAGTTTTATTTGGAAACTTTCTGAAGTATGGTGCGGCGCTCTCAATGTATAGAAATATTGGTATTGTTGTGCGTGTTTGGTGGGCGGGGGTTGACTTGTGTGAAGTCAACTCCGATCGCTTGGTTTTATACCGGAACTCATCTGATTGGAGACTTTGCCCCTTGAGTCATTTGGTGAGCCACTCGCAGGTAACGATGTAGTTGGTTGATTGATGGCAACTCCGTACATCTTATGCAGGCAACGATCACTGTGGTTGATGATGTTACAATTTTCATGGGAGTTGTCATAAACTGGTTACATATTATGGGTTTACACCACAGGTATTTCGCTTAGTCATTTGAAGTCCGGCATAGTTGCTGGGGCGCCTCATGCCTCGCCTGCACGGTTTATCCATAAGTGATCGGATGCCTGATTTGGTGAGTTTATTTCATTTTGGCCGTTCAATGATTGTACTTTGGTTTTGTGTTATATAACACTGATGATTGATTGTCTTTTCTGTTTCCGAGTCTGTTGGCCTCTACGTTTTCAGCTGTTTGGGGCTTCGTCGATATGGTATGTATCCGCTTGCGCCTTATGACTCGACCCCAATCTCTGCAACATGTCAGTGCTTATTTGTCTCCTTTCCAGACTTTCGGTCTCTTTGACGTGTGGAATTTCTAAATCAACTACTGTTACCTTCAATCTTTGTGTTCTACTTGGGCAAAAATGACTGGGTGATTGGGTAGGTGGATATTCACTTATTCATGTTTTATTGGGGATTAAGGCTTCTTATGAATGCGCATCATGATTTTTGTTATTTGATGGGCAGGATTGTTGCTTCATTGGGGACATGTAGATGTCGTGTGGCCCCTTCTCAGTGGTGTTCTTCGACCCCAGTTCGTTATTCGAGTGCGTATTTTATTGCTCCATGTTGGTCGTATGTTTCTGTCTTTGTGCCGTGGACATCCCAATAGCTGACTTATACCTAACCTTTCAACATATTGTACATAATATTATTCATTTCCTTACTTCGAACTTTAATGGAGCTGGCGATGATACCTTCTTTGCCCTTGGCTTCGGTCTGCTTGCGACCTTCGAGATCCCTGCCGCCTGAAGTTGTAGACTTGATTATTTCTTATTTGGTGGATCAATCTGATGTTACTCCGGCAAACCCTCTGAATAGTGCTGACAGGCCGTTTGTCAATCATAGCGCTGTGAAACAAATACTTGATCTCCGATTACTTAGCAAATCATGGGCAATGGGAATTGGTTCTTACGTGGGGGTATCTTTAAACTTAGTTACTCCTAATATGTCAACCTGTTTGTTGAAAATGTCAAGAATGTCAGCATCGATTTTGAGCACTCATCGCCTGCGTCGCCTCTGTATAGGTTGTGTTCTGTTTTTGCCTGATTTCATACTCGCCTCCTTGGATCTCGATGACTCCAATGATTCCGATGAAATCTCCCGTTTTGATAAGCGGCACTCTGATTGCTCTTCGCTATCTATGAAGGACGCCGCCGCTATAATCAATTTATGTCGTCATAATTTAACTGAGCTCAAGATCAAGTTTTCGAAATCGGTTGGTTTTTCTCAAGACCTGATCAAGGCAATCGGCGATATCAGTTCCCTCAAAGTCTTCATGATGCTTGGGAGTAAATCACGTAAGGCCTACCATGACTTCGGATCCATCACAAAGGTCCTCGACGTCACTACGAACGTCGAATCATTATCGATCGACTGTGGTTCTCTTGGCCCCTTGGATATCAAGGCGTCCTCCTTGCCCCGTCTGATCCATTTATGGGCACCTCTTTATCTTGATACTCATCAATGTTTCAACGAGTTCGTGCGGGCGGAAGGCAGGGATATAAAGTTCCTCGAGTGTTTTTCGCCGGACGCGCATGGTCTTTGTGGTTCTATGATAGTGGGGTTGAACCACTGTCTTGAGATACTTTTTGTTGATTCAGTACCTGATAACCTTAGTCGCGTTGTGCTGGACACCCATTTCCCGAAATTGAAGGTGATACGTAGCATTTATAGTACTACTTATGTTGGTAACCTGGCGTGGTTCCAATGGCCAATGTTCAGTGCCATGGAGGTATTCATAACCAGTTATTGGCACGGGAGATTTTATTGGCAAAGGATGATGTCACAAGTTGGCATTGTTCCTATTCCTTTCCCGCCTAAGCTCAAGCATATCATCTTTGTCAGTTGGAATGGACCGGATTCTCAAAACGCGTACCTTGTAAAACAATTTGCCAGCGTTGGTATCAAATGCTTATTCGAATTCGAAATGACAACGCAACAGATCCTGGTAAGAGTTCTTTTCTTCAATTGTATATTTTGCTCCTAACTTCAATGCCAACTTGAATATTTCAGGATGTCGCTAGCGGTATTGGACTGGATGGGTGAATGAGGTTCTTTGGTC